GGGGGGGAGGGAGGGGTGACGGCTGAGAGGGAGCGGGCGGCCAATCGCGGTGGCCCGTGGCCGGGCGCGGGAAGGGGGTCAGCCCCGCGGGGCGCGTGGAGCCCCGCGCGGGTCCCTGGTCGCCCGCAGGCCGGAACGCGCGCGCGTGGAGCGCCCAGCACACAGACACGGGCGGCGTGCACACGGAACGTGCACACACCGAGAGCGACGTGCACCCGGACATGTGAAGGTGCCTTCGTGCGTCAGGAGAGACAGGCTCGAGCGCTCCAAGTGCACACGACCCGGAGGTCCTTGCACAGCGCTCCCGGGTCACTCAGGGACGTGCGCATGGAGGCTGGCCCACGTGCAGAGACCGACTGCGGGCACAAGTGGAGCTGGAAAGAGAGCAAGCGCGGCACACGGGACCCAGGCACTGCCACACAGACCTGCACACACCGAAAGCCTTGTTAACCAAACACGTGCCAAGAACGCATTCCCAAAGACACACAGAGAGGACACACAATGCAGATATGTACACTCCCAGGCTCCTTGCCTTCGCACCGCTTTGTTGCTTCTGCAGGGCACAAAGCTCACAACATTTATTTGCCAAATTGAAAACCGCTCGTACACTGAGGTGTGTGCACACGTTCTATAGAGGCACGCTCACCCAGAAAACCATTCGACCACCATTCTCCCCACTCGAACACAGGCACAACCAGCCATGTGCACAGACACGCCCACTTCCACAGCCCACAGGCACATATATGACATCAGGGCTAGGAGGCTCCTCAGATTCACACGTGGAGGCACAGCCACAGTGTCTCGCGAGGCCTGTGACTGGCCTGCCAGGTACAAGCAAGACAGAAGCAAAGAGCCTTCACCCCACAGCCCAGTTGTCAGGTGGACTGCTAAGACCCAGTTCCTACACACTTAGCCCACCTGCTGTGAAAATCCCAGCACAACCCTCAGACCAGGCTCACAGTCCTCAGCAAGACCGGAGTCTGCTTGGCATCCACATGCAGAAAGACAGAGGACATTTCCTACACGGAGACTTGTCTTCAGTGGCTCCTTTATTTAATGAGTCTGAGAAAACTAGATGGTAAAATTGCAGTATGTGGAGCTGGAAAAAACCTAATCAACCAAACCCGCCTCCGTTTTTGAGATAAGGAAAAGGAGGCCCATTCAGTGAAGACACCTTGTGTTGTGTTTGAGGCCCCAACGCTTGCAGCCCAGAGGGGCCTCAGAAATGGAAGACATGGGTATCAGCATAGGGTGCTGGGAAAGGGGACAGCTAGGAGAAGCACCTAGCTGAGTAGGTGGCAGGTAGGGAGGGCAGTAGGAGTTGTGACTCCGGAAAAGTGACTTTTAAGTGCAACTCGAAGAATGGGAGAAGTGAGGTCGGGGGGAGAAGAAGACAGCGAAGGGGACCCCGCAGATTGGCTCTGCCAAGACACCTACCACGTTCCAGTGAGCACAGCAGGGCAGGAGCCCAGTGCGCGCACATCCCTCAGAGAGCTCAAGCATGAAGGCAACTGGAGGAACACACCAACAGTTCCAGGCCCCTCTTTTGACAATCCTGTCAACCCACTCCTGCCCAGCTCTTTCCTTTCTTCATTATCTATCGAATAAACATAATGCCACCACTAATGAAAAACATTTTAAATGAAAAGAACTTAAGAAACACCTGACTACTAGAGTTTTTTCCTGTTCTGTTTCAGGCTTTGCCAGTATCTGCTTATATATGGGTTTTGTCATCATAATCTGCATATTTTTTACCCTGCTTTTTAAACTTAACGTTTTATCAGAAACATTTTCCCATCCTTCTACATAATTACCTTCCTAATTTTCATTTTAAATGTTTTCATAGGCCTTCCCTGGTGGCGCAGTGGCTGAGAGTCCGCCTGCCGATGCAGGGCACACGGGTTCGTGCCCCGGTCCAGGAAGATCCCACATGCCGCGGAGCGGCTGGGCCCGTGAGCCATGGCCGCTGAGCCTGCGCGTCCGGAGCCTGTGCTCCGCAACGGGAGAGGCCACGACAGTGAGACGCCCGTGTACCGCAAAAAAAAAAAAAAAAAAAAAAATGTTTTCATAGTATTCCAACAAGTGAATGTACTGTGAAATTACTTAATCATACTCTGTTCTTGGGCACTTAATTTGCTCCCAGTTTTCCATTACTGCAAATCATACAATGAACTTTCTCATGCCTCTAGCTTGTTGCTTTTGTTGAACTATCACTTCAAATAAACCTCTAGGATTGGCTGGCATTCTTAAATAGACAAGTATGGAAAACTTTATGTCGCCTGCCACACATTTTAAAAGCTTTATAAAACTCATTGTCAATGCCACCAGCAATATATAGTGTGCCAATTCCTCTGCAACCTGGCTAGCTTTGGGTGGGCATTCTTTTTTTATCAACATTTATTTAATTAATTATTTTTTAAATTTTATTTATTTTTGGCTGCGTCGGGTCTTAGTTGTGACATGTGGGATCTTCATTGTAACACGCAGGATCTTTCCTTGCGGAGCGCAGTCTTCTCTGTCTCTCTAGTTGTGGAGTGCGGGTTTTCTCTCTCTAGTTGACGCGCGTGGGCTTAGTTGCCCCGTGGCATGTGGGATCTTAGTTCCCTGACCAGGGATCGAACCCGTGTCCCCCGCATTGGAAGGCTGATTCTCTACCACTGGACCGCCAGGGAAGTCCCTGGGTAGACATTTTTTTTTTAATTTATTTTATTTATTTTTTATACAGCAGGTCCTTATTAGTTATCTATTTTATACATATTAGTGTATTTCTGTCAACCCCCATCTCCCTGGGTGGGCATTCTTTATCTTACTTTATACCAGAGTAGCTCACAAAGGCTATGACTGCCCAATCTGACCTTGACAGCAGAGTAGTTTGGGTACACACTCCAAAATCAGATTGCCTGGCTTCACATTCTGGCTCTGCCACTTACTAGCTTGGATAAGTTATTTAACTTCTCCAGGTCTTAGTTTCAATAGCTGTAAAATGAGCATGATTATAGCAACCTTCCTCATAGGACTGACGTGAGGACCAAGTACGTTAATACTTGTAGCGAACATAGAATGGTGCCTAGCTCTCAGCCCTAGTTCTTTCCCCTTTACTTGTCCATCTCTCCTTGCCCACTACCTCTTGCCCTCCTGTTGTTATTTATGAGTGCCTAGTTAATGTGTTCAGTGGACATTGTATCATAACATGGAACATCCATCAGACGAAAGCAATCATCAAGGAACAGACCATCACTATAACTAGGGAAATCCACCTACTAACCATACCCTTCATACCTGCATATTCACACATCAGAGAAACATAACAGGCAGATGCCGACATTCACCAATATACCAACATTCCCTCACAGGCCTACGCCTCCTGCTAAGAAGGAATCACTGTGCATCAGGAAGACTAGCTTCATTTGTATGAAACCTACCGTCTCTCAGCCTCAATGCACCCATCTGTCTAATATGGGTAATAATAACCTACGTTAAAGGTTTATTGTGAGGATCAAATGAGAATATAGGTATGGATTCTGTAAATAATACAGAGAATTCTAGAAGCATAGTAGTGTAGACACTACATAAAGTAGTGTCTCCAAGAATGAAACTTGATTATTGTCTTGCCCATCTCCTTGTTACACAGATGAGGAAACTGAGGCTCAGAAATGGGCTTATGAACAAGGTCAGAACAATACAAGGCTCAGTTACAACCAGAATCCATTTTTCCCAGCATACAGCCTAGTACTACTGTCCTACTTCCCATTTTCTTCCCATTATGCTGGGATGACTGTTTTCACTCCCCCTTCCATTACATAAAGTCCACAGAAGTACAATAAAGCAGGTTCCTAAGAATAGAAAGATTTATAGAAATATTTCATTCACCGTGGTTTTTTCTTTCTATGTTCTTCCCACCCACTGCCAAAATCAATACCTAGAGCATGTTTGCAGGCTTAGCATGTAGGACTCAAGAAGAAACATTAAAAATGAAAGGTGAAGGTCAGTCTATAATTCCTGATCCAAAATGGAGACACTTGACTCTATAAACTAGAAATAGCACTGTCACTTTGAACCTTGACCCACACTTTGATTCCTCACTCTCTTGTTTCCACTCTGGCCACCTGCAGAAAGGGTTCTATAGAGCATCATGTTTCTGGAGCCCAGAAGCATCTGTTTCAATAACTACTCCTTTGAAGCCCAATATCAGATCTGGGTTATGACCACCACTGCCGTTTAGTCAACAAATGAAAACAAATCCACCTCTTCAGTCACGTAGACATGAAAAATTTTCCAAGACTGATGACCAGATTCCTGCTCTGCTCCAGGTTGTGTTGGCAACAGGTAGACACAGCTTTCAAAATCTGTGCACAACAGCAGTGCCTCAACCAATGCACCCCCATGATTGGTGTCACAACAGCTCCTGTGCTGAGCAAGGCAGGAGGTCTAGCTAGATGCAGCCTGCTGGGGACAGAGGCATGGCCCCAGGCACTGACGATCACTTGGGGGGATCTGGGCATAAACACAAGA